CTGAGGCTTTGAGGTTCCAAACCAACCAAGGGAAAGTAATGGAGGTACTACTGTTCCAGGTTGAGCTGTCTGTCTCAGCCTTTTACACAGGATATAGGCCTACAAGAAAATGATCATCTTGATATAATGTAAAACAAACCCTACATGCAAGAGACGTATTTTAAACACTCAGTGTTTAAAATACGTCTCTTCGGATGATAATGAATAAAATGGGACGCTAGTTCATTGCAGCATTAACAGATTACACTGCTGGTTCTCATAAGTTTATACAATTTTTTACCTATAATTTTTGGCTGGTTTCAATTTATCCATATTGCTGCCCTGTCACAGCCATGCAAGGTGTTGCAATAAACGTGTTTCTATTTTTAAACACATACTCACTTGTTTTAGGTGTTGAGACAACAGAAACAATGTTAAAAAGAGAAAACACCTCCTTGGACTTCCTACAGTCAAACCTGTATTAAGCGATGTGCACACCCTTGGGAGCCAGTCTGCAGAGTATGGCAGGTGCACGCACAAGTTTTTTAAAAATATTTATAAGCAATAAGGGCCTAAAACCAGCCTTGCACGTGCGAGATCTCGTCGAGTTCTGCTATACTCTGCAGACGGGCTTGGGAGAGAGCTTACTCACTGCTTAATATAGGCTGACCGTTAAATACAGGTTTGACAAATCGCGACAAACCAAAGTGTTATTCTAGAAAATGCCAAAAGAAGGGAGTAAAAGACCACTAAACGCTGTACACAGTGTATCTGTTACAGGTCGAAATTAAGCTTATTAAGTCTCAATAAAATTCAGGTTGAAGTTTTTTTACTGAACCTTGGTTGGTTTCCTCTGTCTCCTAGCCCTAATTCATAAATAATATCAGGGCTAGTACACAAATAGGATAGAGAATCAACCTAGGTTAAAAAAATTTAACCTGAATTTAATTTTGATCTGTCACATATCTGTAGCACTAGTGTACATGTGGTACATCGTGTCGAAGTGAATAATAAATAACTTGTTGGAGCCTTGGAAAAACCAAAAAAAACATGAAGAACCATTCTAGACATACCCCCTTTCGAATGTACGTTGTAGCTTTGTTTTTCGTTTTAGCCTGAAGAAGAGTATTTATGACAAATTCTCTCCCGGCAAAAACCGCGCGAAAGCTCCAGGCAAATCGCAATTTCTGAAAAGCAGTCGCCATTTTGAAACCCGTCGGTAGGGAACTGGGGCTTCGAGGAGTAATGGACTTTGACCGTCACTTTGACCGGGGTCTCTCGATAGGGGGATAAGGTCTATGAAACACAAAACGAAACAAAAAACCCTCATTGATGTGAATCCTGTGACCTAGTGACCTTCGTAAGTGGAAGACAAGCGGTGTATGACATTTGCAGACTGCAGACTGCAGACTGCAGACCACAGACTGCAGATTGCAAATTAGAAGACACCAAAAATCTTCCTAATAAAGGTGACGCCATCAAAAGTATAACATCGTGTGAAGTGAGAAAGTAGCCTGGGAACAAGGTTGATATTTTTGCGCAAAGTTACATTGGCCTCATTTCCAAGATGCTGTTGGCTATTCTTCACCGACGCGACTCTTTATTGACTCATCCGGTATATCACTAATTGCGCTGATTCTTTATTCTTCTTTGATTGTTGTGAATTGATAATGACAAGTAGCAATGCCCACTAATGCCTGTCTAAATAGTAGTCTTCTGTAAAAAAGAGTTTTTAGATTGCAAGCACTTCGTGCTCACTACAGTTACGTCGACAAAAACAACTAGGTTAGATCACGGACATTGAACACCTTTTAAATGACGTATTTCATCTTAGCAGTATTTAAGGATATGCTAAATAATCTAAACCGAAAAGATCCTACCTGGACTCGACGAATTACCGGAAGCGCGTTTTGAATTTCTAAATAGGCAAATCGACAATGGCTTTTTTAACAGGCCAACGTAGGCCAATCATTGCTCATACTCAAATCCTAGTACACAGGTGGGGCCCCCGTCGAATAAGGATTCCGGCGCTGTTTCACAGACAGACTTATATAACCAGAGTTTAGTTTGGTCTCATCCTCGGAGACCCAGGGGCAGTCAGTCGGGCCGGGAGAAAAGGCGCGACGAAAGTTTTCAAGCACAGGCGGAAGAGCCCCTGGGTACCGACTCTCACCGGACCATTTCCAAACAGTCAAGTGAATGCTGGCTCCTGATTGGGCACAAAAAATGCTTTGTATTATTGTGCCCAATCGGCGAACATGTTTCTCGTGAGTTCTTTTCGTGAGTTCGTACACGATGGGTATTATGTCGCCACAGTTGCCCGGTTCGTTCACCAAGCTTGTGCGTACAAGGGAAACTTCCATTTTCTACTTTCCTAACCAGAAACGAAGGACCTACCGATGAGTCGAAAAACGTTTCGGATGCTATCAGCAGGAACAATTCATTTTGCACTGAGAAAATTCTGTTTCTGACGGATCACAATGTATCGTAAATAATCAGATAATAGGAAGTTTAAGATGCG